AGCCCCGCCCCGCAGCACAGGGGCGCGCGCGCGCGCGTGTGCGGGAGGGGGCGGGTGGGGAAGGATCGCCGGCGAGATCCTGAGGCGAGGCTCGCGCGCCCGCCCCCGCCCTGGCCCCCAGCTCCCACCCGGTCGGCCCGGCTCAGCCATGATCAAGGCGATCCTCATCTTTAACAACCACGGGAAACCGCGGCTCTCCAAGTTCTACCAGCCCTACGTGAGTACCCCGCCGCCGCCGATCCGGGTGAGGGGGGAGTCGGCGGCCGGCGGCGCCCTCAGGGCGACCCCCTCAGGCGCGCCGCGGCCCTTCTCGCGCCCCGGCCGCCTCGCGCTCCCGGCTGTCAGCCTCCGGCTGGGTGTGAGCGCGGTGCCCACCTCCCGCGGCACTCCCATCCTCCGACGTGGCTCTCCCCGGGCGGCTCCTTCGCCCGTCTGTGGGCTGGGTTGTTTCCCGGCTGCGCGGGCGAGGCCCTGGAGACTTCGCGTTGTCGGGCCGAAGCCGGTCGGGCAGCCGCAGCCCACCTGCGCCCGCGAGCCCACCCGGCACCCTCGCCTTCCTGCTGCCCGCGGCTCCTGTTAGACGCCGAGGGAGGCAGCGCGGAGCCCGTTGGTTTCGCAGCCCCACCTCCCCGACTCCCAGCCTTTCCTGGTGGACTTCTTTCTCTCCTCCCGTGGACAGATGGGCTGCTGTTTTCCGCCGTAATCCTGTCCTCGCGCAGGAACTTGGGCTTCCTGCGTTGGGAGGACTGCACGCTCTGTACGGTCTCTCCTGTAGGTTGTTGCCAGACGTGATCGACTGCCCACGGTGACTTTCCGGTGTCTCCTTATTAAAGAAAAAGATGATTGAGGACCCAACGTTTTTTATGTGGCTTTCCCCCAGTGCTGCAATTTATTTACTCCTGCAATAAATGGCAACATTTGTAGTTGACCGATTAGAATTGTGATTTTGTACTCAAAGTTGGCATTTTTCTGCGTAAGGGAATTTGCCCCAATTTGTAGTTTTTCTCCTTATGAAGAAGAGTAATATTTGTAAAACTCTTTTAGACGTGTTAATATTGTTGAAAAAGTGCAGGAGGCTTTAACGTAGTAAAGATAAGTAATTTGTCAACGATTGCGGGAAGGTAATAGGCAGTTGTGCCTATCAGAGGGCGAAATTCTCCACTAGGTAAAACACAAAATTAGGCTCTCAGTGATAGGATTAATGTAGAGGTATAACTGTTGTGTAGTGTTGAGGCATTTTGCTTAGAGCCAAAAATGAACTTTCAATTAAATATTGAAATTGTGCCAAGGCTACCACTTCTATGCAGCTAAATCGCAGATGGAAATCATTCCTGCCATTAGAAATTAAATGTGAAAATGTCACTTTACCTAAAACGATAATGCAGTCTGTGGGTGTTAGCTGAAGTGAGAAATCTTAAGTTCATTCCTCATTTCCTTAAGTAGTTTTGCTTTTGCTGGCAATAAAGAATATTTTCTACTACTCTTGCCTAGTTTGAGTATAGTATAATTTAAATCCTAATACTCTAAGAATTCTACACTATTCTTTAATCCAGGATAAAATCCTTCTTGATCCTTCTGAGTGAAAAAAATGCCCTTAACTTTGCATTGTTAATCATTTGGCTAAAATATAGTACTAACCTTTACTGAAGGAATCGTTCTCTTTGCCATTTTGCCTGTGCCATCCATTTGCAATGTGAAACTGATATGTTCCAGTTGTGAAACAGAATTTTAAAATGTTTTTCCATATCTACACTAAATAATTAAGCAGTATTCAAAACAGTAGATTTCATGGCTAATCCATAATGTCAGTGTTAACCACTCCTGTAGGGCAGAATTTAATCATGTACAGAAAGATGTATTGAATTTGGAAATCCAGAAATACATCTTTTTCTTGTCCAACAATGGGAGCAGAAATATCTTTTACCTTTACTGAGTAGGCAGCAGTGAAGGTGAATGTGGGAGGAGACAGTTCTTGCAGCAGTGGCAGCTCTGGTGTCATTTTTGGCCACTGCTAAATGACAGTGTCACAGGGGCAGAGAGAGTTGTAATAAAAAGAAGAATCTAGTGGTCACTGAACATGTGGAAGTGGGGATGCCAGGAACTGTTTCTGCATTACTAGTCTTTTATAAATTGAGTTTTGCCAGCTATGTGTTTATTTTTGTCATTCAGGAATAATTTAAGATAATTTATTTATATATTTGCTTCCTCTGATAGATCATAATCTGTTTGAGGGCAGAAATCTTTTTCATTTCTTTATTCCATCAGTCATTTTGTTGACAAATACTGATTTCATGCCTACCATGTGCAGTGTTTAACAATTTGGAGATGAAGGAACAGATAACTTCTGCTCTTTCAGCAGGGGGATAGACAGAGCTAATAAGCAGAATGTATACTATGCCAGATAGTAGTAAGTGCTGTGGGAAAAATAAAGCAGGGAAGAGTGATAGGGAGGACAACGGTGACAGTTTAAAATAGTATGGTCAGGTACATTTTCACTGAGAAGGTGACATTTGAGCAAAAGCTTGAAGGAAGTGAGAAAGCCATCCTTGTAGATAACTGGGGGAAGATCATTCCAGGCCCAGGGAGCAGCAGATGCAAAGGCCCTGAGGAGAGAATGCCTGTTTGAAGAACCTGCCCTATTAGAAGAACACCAAGAAGACTGGCATGGCCAGAGCAGACGCTGTGAGGAAAGGGTAGTTGGAAATGAGGTCTGTATGTATAGGCCATCAGTTTATTCTTATCTCATTGCCGGGAATGTCCTTCCCTTCCATTGCCAAATGGCCAAATTCTAGGCTTAACTCAGACATCACTTGAGCATTCTTTGAAGCCTTTTATCTTGCCTAAAAACTCCTCTTGGTTCTTAGGATTTTGTTTTTAGCATTATTATGGTACAGTATTCTGTTTCACAGCCCATAATTCCTTGGGGCATCCTATAGATTCTTCAAAAGAAGATATTAGATTTTAGATATATTTGTGTTACCGTCAGCAATCAACATTGAGCCTTGAATATAGAGAACTCCATAAATCTTTGCTAAATTCATTCATTAGAGTCTCCTAGCTTGAGATGGAGTTCGCATTAGACATGCCTTCCTAAGTTTCCTTCTAAGTCTTGAAATTTAGTCCTTTATTAACTAGAGGTTTTAAGAATCCATGCCTTTAGGACAGAAGTAATAGGGGAATAGCTGTTACTACCACTGTTTCTGTTTTAAGTTGAAAGAAGTCTTTAAGAAGTATATATCCAATAATAGTGACAGTTTTGAGTTTAATTTATTAAGGGGTATCTAGAGGTGTGGCTGGGGTACTCCAGATGCATCCACTTTATTTTGCCTTCTGTATCCTTTTGCTGTGACTACAGAAGTTCAAATGTTTTTCTTGGTTTATTTCTTTAATTGATGTTTAGCCACAGCGATGTGGCAACAATAAACTTTCGTCTTTTAATATTTTCCTGGAGAAATGTATATATTACTGTGAATGACTAATGACGTATATATTTCATAAACAAGATATATTTTTACATAGCAGTCAAAAAAGAAAAAAACCCTTTGAGGGTAGTTAATGTACCGTGGAATATCCATTGGTGAATCACTTTAATAAAGTAAAAATATTTTTCTTTCATATGCATTGTCTTAGTTGTATCTACAGATATAAAAATTGTTTATGTATTAAGTGTGCACACACAAAGTACAAACAGAAACGTTTTCAAACTTGTACATGAGTTGCCTCAATATTTTTATAAACTGTATCTGATTAAGTTGTTTGTCATCCAAATACAAGCCCTAAACAGAATTCTCAGATTGTTCTTTCCTTTTATTTGAATTTGTTTACATAAAAAATATAAAGGACAAGTAGGAATAACTGTTTCTTTTAAAAAAATCCTTGAGATGCATTTATATTTACTGATGTCTTTTTTTTAGCAACTATTAAGACAGTGTGGCATATGGGATAAACTTATTTTTATGATCAAGATGTAGTTGTCATCAGTTCTAAGTATTAAGGTGTTAACACATATTAGCGCATAGTGTTTGAGCTGTTTTGTTAAGAAGATGATTCCAAATGAATTGTTTTCCTTCCATATGAGTTAGGATGCTTTTGCCTATGTAAATTGGGTCTTATGTAACCTGACTCCAATTTGCTTAAGAAGAGCTTTGTTAGCATACATGTTAGGAGGTGCAGACTAGGAGATTCTAAAATTATTTGATTCAGCAAATCAGTATCTTGGTCATAGAGCCAATTTCTTTCTCTTTCTCTGCTTTGCTCTTCACAAAGTTGACATCCAAAAGCTGATTTTCTCCTTGAAATCAGTGGTGATCAGTAAAATCCACAAGTGAAAGTAGTCTGTTCCTGCAGTCCTGGACTATATCTTTCCCTTCAGTCTAGTTAATTCTATCCAAGACCAGTGACAGCTTGTGCTAATCAGGATACACCCTTGGAGCTGAGAATGAGGGTGGAAACATGAAGAAAATCGATATTCTCTTGGAAAGGTGGAAAAGAGGAGTGTTTAGGCAAACAGGTGTCCGCTATTCCCTCTTTATTAGCTCATGTTATTTTCTTTTGAATAAGTATTTTTACTTCTCTATAATTTTAGATTGCTTCTAAGGTTGTTAGTATCAGGAATGGTTCTTGATAGTATGTGGTTCTGACCATGTGCCACAAAAGATCTTAGTTCAGGATATCTTTATATGAAAGGATCATTGAAAAATTCAAACCCTAATATGATCATAATTTTTGTATGTAGTATGCTTGAAGACTTGCTTTTAAAAAATTAAGATTAATAAACCTGTTGAAAATTGAATAAAGTAGAAATAAAGTATTTTGGGAAAAAAGTGATAAATAGGGCAATGTTTTAGGTCATTCTTCTGCCTTTCAAAGCAGTAAAGTGTTGTACAGGGTAGCTGTATTGTTTCTTTAGTAAAGGTGATTGTTAAATTATTTATTTTTCATTTTTAAATGTATTTCTTTATTGTGATTACATGGGAAATATTTAAGTATTAAGATCAATAAGGCCATCCTTGATCTCACCATCCACAGATAACTATTAATATTTAGTATATTTCCTCTCTATATTTTTTTTCTTTCAGAATACCCTGATGAAGAGTATATATACCTTTTAGACATAATATCACAAAGAGTGCATTGAACCTGTTGGTGAATTTATCGAACATTTGTGGCTTTAAGATAATCAAATACGTTAATATCTGGCTGTTATTTTGTTAAATG